AGACAAAGGTATGAAAGGAATAATGGATAGGATTAAAGTAAGTTTTATACTGCTACAGATACAAAGCCTTCATTTTCTTACCAAAAACATTCACTGTATGCATCACTTCCACTTTTGGAGTAGTGCTGAAAGTGCAATAATACTGTCCAGAGTCGCTGGTATTGACATTCGTGACAATAAGAGAATTGTTGTGTCTGTGATATGTGATCCGAGGGTCCTTGGACCCCTGATGGATTTTGTCTACATATAGAAGTGTACTCTCTTTCCTCCACATGACGTAAACACATTCAGATCATCAGCTGTAACAACATAACAATATATGAACAAGACCTTACAACTTAAATTCTAGAATACGATAAATATGTGTGTTCGTAAGGTATAAAACTATTACATACTGATGAGTTTCATAATCTGTATTTTTCACCAAACATTGTCATGACAATTAACCCTACAGCGCTCGCGTCCACCCTTGGAACGTTCCCACTCGCGTGTGAGCACCGCGCCGCAACCCATCAATTGAGCAAATACTTAATCAGACTATTACTGACTTTTAATTTATTTATGGAGTTACGATTAAGAGACTAATAAAATGTTAAAACATTGTACAAAAGTCCAATTGAAGCTTTGATTCCATCGATTGAAGTTTCTAAGCAGTCTCTTTGCCTGAAATAATTTTCTCTAATTTTTTCCAGTTTTTTATTTGTGAATTTTGTGATATCACCCAGTAAATTATCTGGAAAAAATAGCTGCCAGCACTCGATCTTGGTTTTTCAGTTTTCTGTGTATCCTTTGACCCCAGGAAGGTGAGAGATAAAGTTTTTCATTGGCGCCTTTTTACTTCTTCGAAGGGAAACGTTTCGAAATTTAGTCATTTTATCTATGCCAATATAAAGATCACTTATTCCTGCATTGGAATCTTCATCTAAACGTTCTGACGAGTTTTCGGATTGACTACCATGATTCTCCTCTCGTGGTTCCTCATCAGAATCCTGAGTATCATCGAATTCACAATCTATAATTTCTCCTGCACTCACTTGTTCTCTTTCACGTTCTTCTTGTTCTAATAACCACTTCAAAAAAAACATTTGTATCAGAAGATCTTGTTTTAGAAGCCATTATTGGTAAATGTGAACAATAAAGAAGAAATTAACCCAAACTTAAAAACAATTCACTTTGGAACACAAACACTCGCGTGTGAGTGGGCCGCCGCACTATCAGAATTCTAAAAGTAAACTGAAACATAACAATGCATGAACAAGACCTTACAACTTAAATTCTAGAACACAATAAATATGTTTGTTCGTAAGGTATAAAACTATTACACACTGATGAGTTTCATAATTTGTATTTTTCACCAAACATTGTCATGATAATTAAATCACAACAGATGAGTTGGGCAAAACACGACACATGTGGGTGGGAACTCAGAAATACATATAAAATTTTAAGAAGAATAGTTATTGGGTTATGGTTACTTAAAAGGCCTGAGTGCAGGTAGGAGGGTAACTAACTAGGGAAACGGGGCATGATTATATTCTTTATCAGGGGTTTTCAAACTTTCCCTTTTATCATGTTACCAACTTGCATGCTGCACGATTATGTAAGAGGACAGTTTGCTGCTATTGCAATAGATTCAGTTTCTAGCCTACTGCTGATTAATTTTCTTCAACAAACTCAGCCAACAGACATCTGGCAGTACGTTTGTTCCATTAATGTCTCAATATTGGGTTTAATTTTTGTTGTTTCAATTTTCATGCATTCCTTATCGGTAATACAACCCCTAGCACACAATGTATTTATTTATCTAAAATCCATACAGTATTCTCCCACGTACACTTTGTGCGTCTAATCTCTCCCATGGGGGACCATCCATCTGAACAAAATTCTGACAGCCCTAGCACTTGGCATCAAATCAAAACCTTGGCAGCTATATAACTATTAGCAACAATTTAAAACTAAGACAGCTACAAAAGTTATTATCAGATAAACACACATCCCATCAAAACTCACACTGACAGTCAACATCAGTCAAAGTTCTGATAACTCTAATAGCATGACATCAACATTCTGAAACATTTAATTTTTAGCAAACGGTCATACTCAGATTCACAGTCGCACAGGGCAGAGCCACAGTTCCGCCTGGATGCACCTCAAAGGTAAGAGGCTTGCTCTTCATTACAGGCGGCGGTCCAGTATAAGAGTCGTCCTGCTCATCTTCATCATAATCCCTGTCATCATCGTTGGAATAATAGTAATCTGCATCTTCTTTACTGTCTGGTCTGCAGAGACCTGTAACAAGCCATAGAACACTGTTAGGGCTCATGGCTTTCTAACAATGACCTGTCACCTGTAGAGGTTATGAGACGTCAGTCATGCCATATTTCAAGGTATTTCAAGGCACAAAAGATATTATTCAAACACTTGAAGGGCTATGTAAAACCAAAGGAAACCTTAGGCAGGACAGTTCTCTGGCCAAGTATCAATCAGATATATAAAAAAACCCAGCAGGTATTTTAACCACTACTCTGTGATGTTTGGCTGCTGATTTATGTTCCTACAGAGCAGCAAGTATGGTCCAGAATCCGAATTTCTGCTTAGGAGGATATGATAATAGTTTTAATTTACAAGATTATATAATGTATGCACTAAAGTGCTTCGGAAACTATTAAAGAGAATATCAAAACTATCGTCGAAGAAAATCGAGGTTATTAAAAGCTAAAGCACCATTTATATGGTATGACAGTCACACAAGTACAGTACGTTCTCAGTGCAAAGATCAATGAGTTAATTATGCTTACCGAAATAACAGCCGTTATCCTGAAAAGTATACTGACACTCCGTGAGCAGAATGCAGAGTTAGTAAATGTTATATCATTGGTACATATTGCGGTTTTCGGGTTGTTGCCAACATTGCCATGGAACGAACGTATCACATCATAACCCGTGAGTTCTCAATCCGAGTTTTTAAAGCTGTGA